AGGCCCGAGCTGCAATTTTTTCCGCCAAATGAATTGCCGTTTTGGGCCTTAACATATCCCCAAACTCACCAAATTTGGCGGACACATCAGGACTGGTGAAAAATCACATATTTTAGGGCGTGGCAAAAATTGCAACAGAAACTGCTCAAGAGCGTCACCTAAAAATTTTCTAAACACCCTCTGCATTAACCTAAGTTAGTCGTAGAAACATGAAATTTGGTACGCTTGTCCAATTCCCCAAGATGCACAGAAAACCCTTTGGCACCAATGTTGTACAATAAACAGGAAGGTGGCCATTTTGGAATGCCAGCACAATACACCTTTTTGGTGGTTTACAGCCTCCGCATTTGAACGAACTCCTCCTAGAGATTTCGCTCAATTGGTTTCAAACTTGGCCATTTTGGTCAAAAGGCATGGGGAACGCAAAGTTATCTAAAAGGTTCGTTTCGGAGCATGATGAAGGGGCGGGGCCAGACCTCAAAGTTTGACATCTCGCCATGAAAAACAAAACGCTAATAGCTCCTACACGGAAACTGTCTGAGACATCAAACCTTCAGTGATTGATCCACATCCAGTCCCCTGCAAGACTGAATGGTCAAATCATGACATGACTTAAGCCACGCCCCCTGACAACAGGAAGTATAAAGTTTTATGTTGAATGATCCCTATCTGACCTGTTACTTGATCAGCATGATAGTGTGTCCAGTGACCAAAGACATGTTGGTGTAACTTGCTTTCCAACACAAAGATTAAGGACTTGGTAATAGTTCCTTAAAATCTTGTTCTGTCCAACCATTTTTTAATAACCTTTGAGTTTACATTAAATGACTACACAGTCACTGAGAGTAAATTTCATCTCAGCAGGTGCTTAATAGAAAATGATGTAACCAAATTTAAACAATCTCTTCCATCAATGTTTTCCTCTGTCTTGCAGAGTAATGCATCAGAGAACAGAGACTTAGATCATCTAGTTGATCATCTTACAACTTCAATGCAAACTTCACTTGACAAAATTGTGCCACTGAAAAAGAAAGTAATCCATCAGAGGAAACTGGCTCCTTGGTTCAATTCTGAGTTATGTACTTTAAGGCAGGCATCTAGAAACCAGGAGAGAAAATGGCACTCTACTATCCATCCATCCATCCATCCATCCATTATCTTTACCCGCTTATTCCATTTTGGGTCACGGGGGTCGCTGGTGCCCATGTCCAGCAATCACTGTGCGAGGGGCGGGGTACACCCTGGACGGGTCGCAAGTCCATCACAGGGCCACATAGAGACAAACGAGACAAACAACCATTCACTCTCTCACTCACACCTAGGGACAATTTAGAGTTACCAATCAGCCTAACATGCATGTTTTTGGTCTGTGGGAGGAAACAGGAGCACCCGGAGAAAACACACGCATGCACGGAGAGAACATGCAAACTCCACCCAGAAGGCCCCTGGACCGGGGTTTGAACCAAGGACCTGCTCGTTGAGAGGCAGCAGCTCTACCAGTTGTGCCACCGTGCTGCCCAGCACTCTACTAATGTTGAATAATTTTATTTAACTTGGAAAGATAGTCTGCTAACATATAAAAAAGCTCTCCGTAAAGCTAGAACTTTATATCCTGATGCATGCTCAATAATCCAGGTAGAAAAATCCAAAAAAGTTCAGTCTGGTCCTCTGCACATTCAAAAAAACAAAACAAAGCAAAAAAATGTAGATACGTTTTGTCTTTCATCCGAAAGACTTCTTCAGACTGAGGTGCTATATTCAGCTCAGTCTCTTAAATAGCACCTTCTCAGAGTGGATCAACCAGTTTTGCTGCTGACAACCAAAACCAGCTGATCACATGGTCAAGAAGGACCATCAGCCTAACAATGGATCATTAGCACACTGATGGCTGTTTACTGTTCACAGAGGGTTGAGTGATACTAGCAATAGCAGCAGTGTAAGAGGGGGACAGGTGAATACGGAGGCTCCACCCCTGTTTAATGATGGACAGTTTCTTTTCACAAAGATGGCCTCCTTTACTCCTCTCTCAAACCATTGGCCTGGAGATGAGTGTAGACCGCAGAGTCCTGGCCTGATGATGTTGATCTTCTGTGCTGGGCCATCCTTTTGGCCAGTGGCTGTTTACAACGGGGAGTTTTTTTTATTGGATTTTGCACCCAATAAATGTTGTTTTGGAAATTCTAACCATTCACTTTTACTTAATAGTCATACTTTAAGTACATTTTAAATGAGAAAATTACTTTTGATACTTAAGTACATTAAATGTCAGATACTTTAAGACTTTTACTCAAGTAATAATTTTTAAAGGAGACTTTGACTTTTACCAAAGTAATTTTATGGTAAGATACTTGTACTTTTACTGATCTATCACTTTGAGGTACTGTTGGATTTGATATGTTTTATATATTTTTATATCTTTTGACAAGCCTTGACATTTCTCTGATGATGTGAAATGATGCATTTCTACAAGATGTGTGCGTGTATAATCATACACTAATTACTTCATGTTATATATAATCTCACAAGTGCTAAGGATAATCGTACAAGTTCACATTTGATATAATTCTGAGGGAAACAGACAGGTAAGACACTTATTTGTGCAGCAGGAAACAATCCTTCTTTGTTCTCTGAGCAGAGCAGCTGAGAGTTGAGGGCCCAGCAATGTGACACACTGCGCACACATTGATTAAACATAAATAACGCTAAATCACAACATTCATATACTTTATACTTAACCCAGGTTGAGTATTTATGCTCTCACATTAATAATGGTTCAGACACACAGAAAACATGTTTTAAAGCTCTATACAGACGAAAGCCAGACTACAGCTGAGAATAAGTGCTCCTGCGTTCCAAAACAAAGCTCGTAAATCAACCCTTATCAGTAGAAGGATGAGTGAGGCCGTCTGGGGGCTTTTCGGAGTAACCCTGGATATAAAATCTGCTCCTGAGTGGCTGAACATGGTGTCACTCGGACCATCAAGAGGTTTTGACATCCAATCACAAGTCTGTCCGAACCCGAAAGGGCGGGACATGAGAAACCTATAAATTTCGCTCAGACACAGGGTTTGGTTGAACAAACTCGGGCTGATTCACCAGGCAAGGTTCGCTCTGACTTTGTTCCTCAGACTGCATTCTGATTACATGTAATATCTGAATACTTTAACTTTGTCTCAATTAAATCTTTAATACTAAGGTGAAGTGCTCCTGAAATTCTGTGCTCGGGTCATTTGAACACCCCAAAACCCTTCAGTACTTTATACAACACTGGTGAAGAAGACCAAATGGTGGAAGCTGAACTAGGAAGAATATTGTGAGAAATTTAGAAAGGAGCTGTTAAAGACTCTGGGTGGTAAGAAAGAGCTTCCAAATGACTGGACTACTACAGCAACAGTAATTAGAGAGACAGGTAGGAAGGTACATGGTGTGTCATCTGGACAGAGAATGGATGATAAGGAAACCTGGTGGTGGAATAGTGAAGTGCAGTAAGCTGTTCAAAGAAAGAGGTTAGCCAAGAAGAAATGTGACAGTGAGAGGACTGAAGAGAGGAGACAGGAATATAAGGAGATGCAAAGTATAACAAAGAGGGAGGTGGCAAAGGCAAAGCAGAAGGCATATGATGAGTTGTATGAGAGGCTGGACACTAAAGAGGGCGAGAAGGACTTGTACCAATTGGTGAGACAGAGAGATCAGGCTGGAAAGGATGTGCAACAGGTTAGGCTTGTTAAAGATAGGAATGGTAATGTTCTAACAAGTGAGGAGAGTGTGATGGGAAGATGAAAGGAGTACTTTGAGGAGCTAATGAATGAAGAGAATGAAAGAGAAAGAAGAGTAGAGGTCATAGAAACTGTGGACCAGGAAGTGGGAAAGATTAGTGAGGATGAAGTCTGGAAAGCTCTGAAAAGAATGAAGAAGGGGAAGGCAGTAGGACCTGATGACATACCAGTGGAGGTTTGGAAATGTTTTGGAGCGATGGCAGTGAGGTTTTTGACTCAAATATTTAATGAGGTTTGCGGTTGAGAAAATGCCTGAGGAATGGAGAAGTGTGCTGGGGCCCATTTTTAAGAACAAGGATGATGTACAGAGTTGTAGCAACTAAGTTGATGAGCCACATGATGAAGCTCTGGGAGAGAGTTGTGGAAGCAAGACAGATGGGAGGTGACTATTTGTGAGCAGCAGGATGGTTTCATGCCAAGAAAAAGCACCACAGATGCATCTTTGTTTTGAGAATGCTGATGGAGAAGTACAGAGAGGGTCGGAAAGAACTCCATTGTGTCTTTGTGGATTTAGAAAAAGCATCTGACAGAGTGCTGAGGGAGGAGGTGCAGTATTGCATGAGCAAATCTGGAGTGACAGAGAATGTTAGACTGGTAGAGGATATGTATGAGGACAGGAGGACAGTGGTGAGACCAGCTATGTTGTATGGTCTGGAGACAAAGACATGGACAAAAAGACAGGAGAATGAACTGGAAGTGGCAGAAATGAAGATGTAGAGGTTCTCCTTAGGAGTGACAAGGATGGATAAGATTAGGCATGAGATAATCAGAGGCACGGCACAAGTTGAACAACTGGGAGATAAAGTTAGATGATATTGGTGTGTGACTATAGTGTGCACATCTGATGTTGCTCACAGTGGTCCTCAGTGTGTTCAGGGAGCTTGTGTGTTTGCCCAGACACATGAAATATTAGAGGAAACATTGCCCGAGAGCCACAGGTTGCAGACCCTAGTCTTGGACAATAAAGAATGGGATGAGTTAATGCACTCTGCAAGTCTTATCTTATATTCATTTAAGTCCAAAGGCTTTATACAGTCAGTTACAGTAGTCTCTCATAGAGAAATTAATGCATTTTAGCTTTTTACTTCAAAATAAAATATACAATAATGCCTATTTTTTATCTACCAATCATCAAGAATGCAAACCTACACAAGCAGTACCACCTGGTATGAGCTTGAGCTGGAATCAAACTTCTGACCGTAAAAACATAAAAATGTAACTTACCCTTCTGGTGTTGTCCAAGACCTTGGGGTCAGGTTGACCATAGTTGGGGGGGTTAGCGTGAGGGTCATAGCCAAGCCTGGACAGCATGGGAGCAATGACAGCCATGTCCTTCACCACATCAGCTGGAATTTTTCCCACCCACTTAGACAAGGCCTCCACGTTTACCGGATTGATGACCTGGTCTGTGGACCTCTCCACCCTAACAAAAAACAGAAAAATTAAAGTTTCGAGTGTGAAATTAAGTACAAAGGCTGCCCCTTTTTGTAAACAAACAAAAATGTGCTCCTAATAAAATAATTCAATTCAATTCAATTCAAAAATACTTTATTAATCCCAAAGGGAAATTAAGTGTTTTCATAGCTCATCATTCTGGTTTCATTCGTGTTGTTAGATGCTGATAGCTGTGGGCAGGAAGGATCTTCTGCAGTGAATCCAAAGAATCTAGCCACAGATACCGATCCATCCACCCAGATCCAGTTGGCTCTCAAATCCGGCGGGTCTCTCAGTCCTCCTGGGCAGCAGGACTGCCCAAATGCCAGGCAGAATTCCTCCCTGAGCAATGGTCACTCCTCCCAGTAGCCTGCTGAGCTCCTCATTGCCACGGACAGACAGCTGAAGGTGCTGGGGGGTGATTCCGGTCTTCCCGTTGTCACGAGTAGTTTCCCACCATCTCCTGGCGGTCAGGTACTCGAGCCACTGCCAGGTTGACGTAAATTTGTCCACGGCGTCTCCTTTTTAACTCATCTGGAATTTGGGGCTGTAGTTGAGGTATTTGAGCTTTTGAGATGTTAATCAGCTGTTTATACTGTACATACAAAGCTCTCAATAACCTAGCTACATCTTACATTACAGATCTTACTATTCCATATTTTCCTAACAGAACACTTCACTCTCACACTGAAGATTTACATGTGGTTCCTAGAGTTCCCAAAAGAAGAATAGATTCAAGGTTCTTTATTGTCTTTCCCACCACATGTGGTACATGAGGTGGAACAAAATTGTGTACACAGGTTCCCAGTTACAGGCGGGCAGTTGTGGCTGAGTGGTTAGAGCAGTCGTCCTCCAATGCAAGAGTTGGGGGGTTCAAATCCACCAGCAGTCCCATGCTGAAGTGTCCCTGGGCAAGACACTGAACCCCTCATAGCCTCTGATGTGTGTCCCATCAGTGTATGAATGTGATAAAGCTCTGATTAGTCTCATTAGAATGATTTGTTCAATTAGCTTTGTAGAGATCTAGTAGAGTGCTGTATAAATGGGTAAATGAGGACACAGATTGTAGAGTAAAGCACTTTGAATATCTTGAAATAAGATAGAAAGGTGCTATATAAGTACAGTCCATTTACAATTTACATCCAACAAAAGTATAAAATTAGGGATGCACCGATCCACTTTTTCTTTTACTTCCGATTTGATCCCGATACTTAAATCTGGATATCGGCCGATACCAATCCGTTCCGATATCATCATCGTTATTGATTTTATATGAGGCTGTAATAATCTCCTCTCAAGTACAATTTGTACAAATATATGCATGCATGTCCAAAACGGCAACGTGAGGTAAGTTTTATTAATGTTGGATAAGTTTCAAAGTTAGAATTCTGCTAACACAAAACATGTTTTTTTATTCCTAGCTTTAAAGTAGATATTAAAGTGATTTATTGTCTTTAAACATCTGCTAAGTTCGTGGCATAAACCAACAGACATGTTCCTGTTTTTAGTATTTTACATCGCTTTATAATGTAGGTGTTTTTTGTGTCTTTTTTTTCTTTAATATAATTTTCTTGTAATTTTCAATTCATATGCTTTTTTATGATTGTCTTCTGTTGTACTGATTAATATCTCCTGGAGGGTAAACGTAAACTATATCTTGGCTGCAAGTATCAAGCTGCGAAAACCTTTGTTTTTTACAGCTGATAGCAATTGGTCATTAATTACAATGAAGTTTAGCAACTTCTCGGTAAACATTTGAGCTCCGGGGCTTCAGAGGTGTGTTCTCGTTCAGTCCGAAGCAGGCAGTTTGATTTTGGTCACCCACGTTCAGTCTGCCCCTCCTCAGAGACGGGTAGACTGAGTGCGGCTGACCAAAATCAAACTGCCTCCTTTGGATTGAACGAGAACACACCTCTGAATCCATGGAGCTTGAATGTCCAACAAAACTAACTTTACCGCGGTTTAAAAAATACTTCCAAACAGTGGACATGTTTCAATGAAAAGTAGCCGTTAGCCACAGTGCTGCTCAGTCCTCAGTATTTACTCATGTTGTAGCTGCTGCAAACTATGATAAATGATAAATTCACCACCTAGAAACGAAAAGATTGGACAGAGGAAGTCTTTCGGATGAAAGACGAAAGGTTTCTATAATTTTTTTTTTTTTGTGAATGTCCAGAGGACCAGATTTAACTTTTTTAGACAAAGGATGGATAGTTGAGCAGCATGTCTCTTTAAGAAACATGGGAGGGAGGGTCCTTGATGTGTGACACGGGCTGACATTGGCTGACATGAACTGACATGGAGGATGCTCGGTGAGTTGAGCTCTTTAGCATAGTATTTTTCACACAAAACTTTTAATTAAAAAATCAGCAAACAATAGGGGTGCAGGAAAAAAAATGATTTTTTAAAGAACCTATATTCTTAGTCCTGGCGATTCTGAATCGATTCTAAAAGCCCATAAATCGATTTTAAAATGTGTTTAATTTTATTTTTTTCCGCTCCTACTCCTGAGCGTACTGCATATTGCATTACATGTCCGCTCGGCTGCTGTAGAATTTTACCCGTGTAGGCCACCGTACAGCAAGCTAGTTAGCTAGCTACCTTTATCTGAATGGAGTCTGCTAGCATGGAGGAGGGGGACAGCGAGATTCAAACCACTCAGTCTTTAAAAAAATCATTTCAAATCTTACAATGTTCTTAATGAAAAAAATGCACTGTACTTATACAGCGCCTTTCTAGCTAATCAAGATACTCATAGCTCTTTACACTACAATCTGTGCCTCATTTACCCATTCATACAGCACTCTACTAGATCTCTACAAAGCTAATTGAACAAATCATTCTAAAGAGACTAATCAGAGTTTTATCACATTCATACACTGATGGGACACACATTGGATGCGATGAAGGGTTCAGTGTCTTGCCCATGGACACTTCGGCATGTGACTGCTGGTGGATTCGAACCCCCAACTCTTGCATTGGAGGACGACTGCTCTAACCATTCAGCCACAGCCGCCCCAGGTAGGTAGTTCTGGGGGAAGACAGAGCTTAACAAGAGCATGGTTGTTTACAAGAAGTGTAAAATAAAATTGTGGGACAGTATTTTGGAAATACGACAAAATGCGTGAAAGATGAAAACGAAGCAGCCGACCAGCAAACTCTGCAACAAACTTCCAGGTTTCCCCAAAGGCTGCAAAGATTTCCCTCTCCATCTCCTGCTATATCACAAATGATTTACGAGCAAACAGCTCAGTGGAAGGCGAGGGGTAGGTTTATTTTTAATACGCTGGACCCAACGTAAGTTATTCCTTCACATAGGGCTGGGCGATATCTCAATATTTTAAAAATATCTATATAATTTTATTTTTTGCGATATAAATTGACATTATTTCGATATAAGCAAAATAGTTCTACTAGAAAATCCACCAGCTCTGCTGCCTTCTTTCTTCTCCCACATGGTCCCTCCTCCTGTCACTCACTCCAAACTCAGCCCCTACCTGCACGCTCTCCCTCCTCTTCCTGCTTCTCTCCAAGTGGCATGGCTGCCTGTGGCACGTAGCAGCCATAAAAATAATAAAATAAAAAAAATGGATAGAGAGCAAGTCGCAGACCTGGTGAGCAGGAAGTAAAATAATTGCTCTGTTATTTGGAGATGGTTTGGATTTAATTTGTCAGATGTGCAGCAGAAAAATACAGAAAAAAGTCCCGACGAAAATGTTTGAGCAGAACAAACATTTTTCACCGTTTAAATGCAGCGCTATAAAGTGGAGTATGAAGCGTGTGTTAAACTTGGTGCTTTTTTTTTCTCTCTCTCTCTGTCCTCTGGTAAAGCCAGACGTGTCTCCCTGGGCTAACAGCCCCGCCGCTTGCACTCTTTCATCATGTGAACCCTTAAAAAGCCTCTTTTTTTGTCTCCTAATTACCTCCTAATTTGAAGGTTCAGCCCAAACTATAACCTTGACGCTGGACTTATCTCAACCCTCCTGGCATGTTTAGGAAAACTACAAAGATGCTTTGTCTGTCTCCTCACCCCTCCCTTCCCCAAGGCTGTGGACATGTAACAGAACCTCAACTGAGCTGATGATGAACGTCACCTCTTATCTGAACAATGGCTGGGGGGGGGCTCTGGACTATGCTACGACTTTCCCTTAAAAATTCAATGTTTTCACCACCTATATGTTCATGTATAACGTCTGTTTATGTTACTTTGCTGTGGTAGTTTTTTTTTATGCCTCAAATCGTGCCCTGTCTAGGACACGGTGTGAGAGATCTTTTTTTTTTAAATACCGTCTCTCCTCATGTTTTCTTCGCTTTTCTCATCTAAGCAAAATATTATTCTGAATACGAATAAGAGGGCCACACTTTTTATAGTAGCAGCTTCATGCACTCTGTCCATCTTTCGGACGACTGTACGTACATATTCTCGTTGTATCTCGGTGCAATAATAATAAAGTTTATTCTGATTCTGATACAAGCAGGCCCTCATTGCTGCAGTTCACACACGCTTACTAATATAATGAAGGCAGTGCAGCTGGGGAGGATTATTAATAATATATGTAAAAAAAAGGTCTAAAAACAAACTTTAATATATGTAAATAGTTTATTTTAAAGACATTTATTTACCATACCATACCATTTAATTTAGAGCACTTAAAACAGCAACAAGGACAACCAAAGTGCTGTACAGACAGAACAACAGGCAACACACAAAGCAAAATACAAAATGAAGAAAATGAGAAATATAGACATAAAAACGATGCAGATAATGACGACTAACCAGTGTGGAGCATACAGGATCAAAACACAGATCATCTGGTGTTAAAAGCTACTGAATAGTAGTGAGTTTTTAAACAGGACTTGAAAACCAAGAAGGAGGGGGTCTGTCTGACAAGCTGAGGCAACTCGTTCCAAAGTCTTGGTCCTGCTACAGAGAAGGCCCTGTCACCTCTGCGCTTAAGATGAGTTCCTGGAACTGTGAGGAGCAACTGG